TCTCTCTCTCTCTCTCTCTCTCTCTCTCTCTCTCTCTCTCCCCCCCCCCCCCCCTGTCTCTCTCTCTCTCCTCTTTTTTTTTAAGGGTGACAGCCTTGTGCGAGGATCCGGGTCCTCGGCAGGCCTAAGGGGCCCCTGTTGCATCTGTGCCCGCCCTAAGTGAAGGCGGGCCCCACAAATCACGAGAAGCCCTCGGCTGTCAATTTCTTATTTGGGGTCCAGGCAGTTTCGTCGCGCCAGTTGGTTGAAGGAAACACAGGCCGAACAGCGAGGAAATTCCCAGGCCTTCTAGTCTTTCCGAAAGCGCAGGCCCTGGGTGAGATTCACAGCCTCATACACCGACAGTTGGGAGGCCCAACCGAATGAGGCCCAGTAGCTACACCAGAGGCGCAGCATCCTGGGGCCTACCGGAAGCTTCTGGGCCCAGGCCCAGGCCAGCCAGGCTGCGAAGGCAGGCAGGCTCTTTCCATATAGGAAAGAGCTCGCCGCCTAGTGCCTCGTTCAGCACTTGCATGCTGGCGGCAGGGCTGCTGGAGCGGACGCTCGTGGGCTGCTGCTGGCGCTGAGAGGCAAGGTGCTAGTGCGTGCGGTCGTGCAGTGAGCTGGGCGCTGCTGAGGGCAGCACCATAGCCCAGCCTCCATAGCTGGATGGGCTTGGACTACAGTGCGGCGCAGGGGTGGTCTTCGGGTGTACAGAGGGAAGACGTGGGAGTAAGTCAGGGAAGAGAGAGAAGGATGATGATGATGATGATGTGAGGGCACATACCTGGTATTGGTGATGGTCTGCATTGGGCGACATCTTCAAGTACTTCGTGGGCTGCTGACGTCAACAGTTGCATGGTCAATTAGTAGACACTGGACAGACTGTAGCTGTGTAGGAAGTAGGCTGGGCGCCAAGCGCCAAGTAGGGAGATAGGGCCTGGACACTCATGTTGGTGGTGGCGAGAGCAAGCTCTCATTGACATTGGTTTTCCGTGTTACAATTCTTCATTGGTGTTATATTGGTGCATTTCTGCTTTCTGGACACTGTGATACTATCTGGCCTTCAATGTGATTGTGCATTCTGGACATTGTCACCTCGCTATTGCTCATTTTCCTTGCACTTGACATATCATCGTGAAACTGACCGGCCCAAGGTAATTCAGGAATGTTGTTCATCTGGTTCCATCTGGATTCAAACTCAGGTCCGCATTTCAACAGTTTATGGGTGTACCAACTGAGCTGAGCTGCGCCCATTGGTAAGTTGGGATTTCTTACAGCTGAGCTGTCAAGCGAATGTCGGGTAGGGAAAGGGAATAAGTTGTTTGTCTCAGAAGGTTAGGAAAAACAGGGGTGGAGCAGAGGTAAATCTGTCCGACAAAGGAAGCAATCAATGCTGCTCACTCAGAATGGGCGCCTTGACCATAACAATGAAGGGAAGTGTTGGTGAGTAAGTTATGGAAGGGATGCTGGACCGGTGTGATTTAAATTGGAAAAAAAAAAAAAAAAAGCATAGAGGATGTGACATTCGTGAACTCTTTCTAAGCTTTAACAAAACATACACCCTTCGAAATGATGTCAAATGAATGCAAAAGAAAAAAACAAAACCAGCAGTCAAAAGGTAAAGTAGCCATTGGGAGGGGGCCACAAAGCAGAGCCTGTGAAGTTTCAGGCTGTTCTAAGTAAATGCCATGATGAATCCCAAAACAATGAAAAACGAAATGACGAAAACAAGAAAAAAAAGGTGGTTCTAAGTCAGGAACTGACTCCATGCACTAGTTTAGGCCTTTCAGGGAAAGGAATTGAAAACTCACACCCAGCTTCTGCACTTGGATCACATTGCCAAATAACGTTAGCACACAAACGCAGAAAGATAGCACAACTGGTTACGTCCAGTGATGATGTGTGTGTTGCCACGCCCTCATCCTGTCAATACTGATAAGAGTCTGAACAACGATACCATGAAGGACATTGAAACGCTACTACCCCAAATACCCAACCATGCATATGTACATGCATACCACCATGCAGTCAAGAACCCTGCCTTGCACAGACAGGCATTGTTCGAGTGCTTTCTCTTCTAGTGGCTTCATCGGGCTTTTTCGATCCCTCTCTCTCTCTCTCTCTCTCTCTCTCTCTCTCTCTCTCTCTCTCTCTCTCTCTCTCTCTCTCT